TCCCCCGCGGAGCGGCTGGTAGTTTCGAACTGCTGACCTTAAGGTTCGCAGCCCGATTCGTAACCACTACGCTACCAGAGCTCCTTAACTACATATAGCACATTGCTATTTACTAGCTTTTGGATCTTGTTTTTGTTTTGTTTTTATGTTACTAAGATTCTAACTACTCTGCAGCTATACTTCATCTGTTTTGACAAATGTATACTGTTCGATGGAGTCCTGGTGTGGTGCTGTGGGTTGATGCACTGGACCGCAAGGTCAGTAGGAACTGCAAGGTCAGCAGTTCACCAGCCGCTCCTTGGAAGCCTGTACAGGATCACTATGAGTCGGAACCAACTCGACGGCACTTAATAACAACATAATATTCTATTGGTAAATGTTCTGTGTTCACTTGTAAGGGATGTTTATTCTGCTGATGTGGGGTGGTGGTTGGTACCAACCTCCTCACCTTACTCAATCCATAGGCCTGGAGTCCGAAGCTGCTCGGTCTCTCCATGCACCGCCTCTGCCACCATCACTGTTGTCACTGCTTTCCTCGGCAGGGATGTCACACTCCGTTCATGCTCTTCCTTTTTGATGGTGTTCTATACGGTTTTCATCTGTTTCCAATGATTTTTTTAAGGTTTGACATTCTAGAAGTCTGAAAACATGCTTCCCACCAATCCCGGGCCTTCCTGCACTGCCCCCCTTCGCTGCCAGAGCCCTGCACCCTCACCCTGGGCAGCTTTCCCCACAGATCTCTGCATACGTGCATGACCCAGGAACAGTGATGCCAGTGCCAATGCTCCAGAAGTCCACACAGGGACAAGCGGACACAGGTGACCACCCAACTGAGGGCTGTCATAAATGGAGGATTCTACAAATGTCAACTTGCCTGATGGTGCTAAGTCTCCTGTGTCCTTAATGCTTTTCTGTCCACTTTTTTTTTTTTTTTTAATAGTGGGTAGAGGCATATTGGGAGCTCTGGTAGCGTTGTTGTTGTTAGGTGACATCAAGTCGGTACCGACTCATAGCGACCTTATGCAAAGCAGAATGAAACACTGCCCAGTCCTGGACCAACCTCACTACTGTTGCCACGCTTGAGTCCATCGATACTGCCACTTGGCCAATCCATCTCATTGGGG